GTAGCGCTCCCATGCTTCGTAAAGTGACTCCCCCGGGTTTTGCTCAAAATTGGATATTACCTTCTTGAGTTTAGCTATCTTGGATGGTGGGGAAAATTGGTTTAAAAAATTCTCACGCATTTGAGCCCAAGTAGTGATTGTACCAGGTGGTAGTGCTTTTAACCAATCCTTCGCAGCTCCCTTAAAAGTAACGGGAAGCATCCTTGGCAAGACGGTATCTCTATTAACATTTGGGACATTAAATTAGTCAGCAATGTCGTTGACTTCATCCAAGTGCTTAAACGCATCCTCATGATCTTTTCCATAGAATGGGATATCCTTCAGTGCAGAAAGGATATGTCCTTTCAGCTTGAATGTGGTAGTGGCAGGAATGGTAGGTTGTACTAAACCTGGACCAACATCATCTCGAATTCTCTTTCTTTAAGCTCCCATGGACATTTCTTCAATGTTAACCATCTTATTCCTTGGCTCGTTCTTGGGTTCACTTGTATGTAATTCAAACTCAGGCTCGGTATCGTATTCGGATTCGGTTTGGATAGGTATTTGATCTAAGTTTTCAACCTTGCTCTTGTTCTTTGAAGATGAACTCGACTCCTCTGTTTTATTCCCCGACTTCTTTGAGAACACTGACTTGAATTCTTGTAAAGGTGTCTTCTTTGGTGTTTGATCTTCTTTCACGTTCTTATCCTTCTTTTTGTGAATAGTTGACTCTGGATCTTCAAGTGGTGGTACCAAAGGTGTGTTAGAGCCTCTGGTCATGAATTCCTGAAATTAAACAAAAAAAAAACGTAAAACTGAACTAAGAAAGAGCAACTAAAAATAATTAAAACTAAGAATCCAGTTCTCACGTCGTGAACAATAAAGCTCACATCGTGTGTTCTGTAATGCAGGAAAAAAATGAAATAGAAAAATAACTCTTTGCAAGTTTTACCCTACAAAAAGGATCGATTAATTTAAAGTAAATAAACGAGTAATTAGCTAAGTCGTTCCCCGGCAACGGCGCCAAAAACTTGATGCAGTGCAATAAGCTACACCTAATTTTAATATTTATAACCTAACTTCCTTACTAACTAAATTGCACTTAGGCAGTGTACCTAGTCAAATTTATAGAATAGTCGAGTAAGTCGGGTGTCGATCACAGGGAACGGTGCTAACTAATTAATCTATTTACCACTAAATTAACCTATTTACTAACAAAACAAGGGTTTTTATCTGATTTTGCAAGATCGGATGAACTTAATTTAATTTCAATCAATTACTAAAAACACTCTTGTTTAGTTCGAATCCACTTCTTCTTTATGGTTAGCTAACAATTATGGATTGTCAAGTTGGTTATTATTGTACTAGTAATTTAAGTCTAAATTTACCAATATTAACTAATTCATGTAAAACTATATATGGTCACACACAGTAAAACACATAATAAGTTGTAGATTATGAATTTGTTATCTAAGATTAGGCAAACACAATTATGGTCATAATTTATGTTCTCTAACATAGTTAAGTTTATTTACTTCAATTACTTTCTAAGATTTTGGTCGATCCTAGCACTAGCAATTTAATGTTCACTAAATCATTAGGTTAACAAGTTCATGCAGTTTAATGATCACTAACTACACAGAACATAAATTCAAGCAACTAAGGAACCAAATATTAACATGCTAGGTAATAACAAATCAAACACATGAAATTTACCAACTAATCAAATCCATTAATAATTAAGCTAAACCATATGTCAGAAGCTTCATCTAGCTAAAAAAGAGTAGCTAGATTCAGCTACTCATAGCAACAATCAAAGAAACACAAATCAAATTATTAAACATGTTCATAAGTACTAAACAAATAAACTTATTAAGAATTTTACTCCTTTGGCTTTGAAACCCTCTTTCCAGAACTTCTTTCCTGTTAAAAATCATCTTCTAGAAACCTTCCAACAAGACAAAAGTCTCCCAAATCGTAATGGTCAAGAATATTTATAGTTTTCTGATTTTGTCGAGTTCACGTTGTGATCCAATAACTCTCACGACGTGAATATGGGATAAACGTCTTCGACAAGGATTCTTTTCATTCGGATGCATATCTTCTGGATTACTCCACTCACGATGTGAATCTATAATTGCTCACGTTGTGACTATGTATATTGCTGATTTTTTTTAATCTTTCTTCTTTCAAGCCTTCATAGTTCCATGTTTTGTCCATTTTGGTCACTTTCTTCGAAATTGCTTCATTTTGGCTGCAAATAACATTTTAACCTCATAAGTACCATAATTCTATGCAAATAACCAAAATATTAATAGAAATGTAAATAAATATTGCCTAAAATATGTATAAATATGGAAATATCAGCCTAGATATAAACCTAAGTTAATTTAGGTTAGCATAATGTAATATAAATCAAAGGTTTAAGGGTTAAAACATAAATATTCACCATTTATTGGTGAATTCAGCCAAGGAAATGATATTAAATCAAGAATTCGGCCATATGGAAATCAAAAGCACATGAATTCGTTTATGAGAATCTTATCCAAATGAGTTTTCGGTCCATAATGAATCCAAGAAGGTGTGTACGGTGGGATGTGTGCCTTTCGGCCAACTTCCTAGAGAACGTATAACAGGGTACATGCATACAAAAAGTGTTGTACTGCAATTACAGTCACATTTCGTTATGTTGAGAGAAAAACGTTTGAGAAACACACTTAAACAAATGTTAGAACAAGTTATATAATGCGAAATAAGTTTAACTCAAAGGATCATAAAGCTCAACAATAATAAGAAGTTAGATTTAGAAAGTTAGATAATTAGATGCGGAAGTATAATGACGAAAATATAAGGAAATATAAATGACAAAAACTATTATATCAAGAAAACACTAAGCTAATTCTTAACGAGGATTGCACTCAAACCAAGTTAGTAAGTGTGATCAGCTTAAAGTGATTAAGTAAAGAATGACTTGCTCCGAAGGAGAGTTGGGGAGTTTAATCTTAATATATGAATGAAGTTTAGTAAGATCTTGAGAATAATGAGAGAAGAGATGTAAGAGATGTGTATTTTCATTTGAAGCAGAACACTCTATTTATAGAGTTTTGAGAACATACAAGTGGAATAAGCAAAGACTATAATTCAAAAGAAGTGTCCATGCAAGGCCCACTGGACAATACATTGTAAATACATAAGTTAAAAGCTAAGTCTTTGTTCAGATGAGATGATTGCGGATGGATTCAACTCTTCTCGTTGTAATACCAAAAGCAAAGTTGTGGCAGTGAGGAGGACTTCGGATTGAGGTTTAAGAGGTCACTTTTTTTATTTAACAATTTCCCCCTAAGTGACCTCTTCAACCTTTTCACTTGTTGAGTTTTAGAAACTTGATCAGCAACCACCAAAATTTTCTTACTTCACCCATCCATGTGATCCTTCTTCTGATTTCAAAGTTAACTTCGTCAGTCGTGTGCTTCGACCTCTGCACCGAAGTCACAGTGACTTCCAGTTGCCTTCAGGTTAGGCGGTGCATAGCAGTGATGGGGACGAAGTACTTAACATCGCTGCTGGATCTTTTGAACACAACTCCCAGTTCTGGAAAGTTAGTTGCACCTAAGGATCGCTCTTGATATTCTTCAATATAAACAGGTGCGGGCTCAAGTTTGGGAAGGTTGAATTTTTGAACAAGGACTGGATGAATATCAGCATCTGTCTTGCCAAAATTGTATACTGCGGATCTCAGGTACTCGCAAGCTTTTTCAAACGCAATCTTCATTTTGGGATGTTTCTCGGATTTGAGCTGAAACACCCTAGAAATTAAGAATACCTCTTCCGGATTCATACAGGGAAAGTCAACTTGAGTTCTGACATAATCACAGCCTATTCTTCTCAGAGTGTACTGGATGAATTCGGATTTCTTGAACTTTCTGATCTTATAGTTCATGACTCCGGAAGGTCTATCATTGGACCAAATGTTCTCGAATACTGATCTGTTCTTGTCATGAAACTTGATTAACCTTTCAAATTCAATTGGAAGCCTCTGGTCATTTGGGAGACTACGGTCGAACAGTTCAAGGACCGTGAAGAATTTTGCATTTGGTGAGATGGGAATGTCCTAATAACCATCTTCAGGAGGTTCAACATATGTCAAGACCGGCATGTAGTCTTCGTCCAGAAGTCTTCTTAATGGATTCACCCAAGAGTTGATGAGAGTTTCATCCATTGTTGTATCAAAACCATGATCTCTCCAAATTTGTTCAGCAAACTTAGTTTCTTTCCAGTCTGCTTTTAGCTATTTTGTTGCAGGAGAGTCATTGGAGTGATCATATGACATTGTTGGCTCCAGATTTTTGATCGGTGATGGAGTTTCTTGGTGAGGTGGAGATTGCTACGGAGAAGGAGGATGTTGTTATTGAGATTGGTCAGATGGCACCGAAGTGGGGATTTTCACTTGATCTGTAGTTAAAATTGGGGAGGATTGATGTGTTTCCATCCTTGGTTGGTTAGATGCAAAGTGAGATGGACCGATGATGGTTACTGGGACATTCCCATCTCACCAAATGCAAAATTCTTCACGGTCTTTGAAGCATTCGACCGCAATCTCCTAGATGACAGAAGTCTTCCACTTGAATTTGAAAGGTTAAGAAAGTTTCATGACAATCACGAATCAACATTCGAGAACATTTGGTCCAACGACGGACATTCCGGAGTCAAGAACTACAATATCAGAAAGTTCATGAAATCAGAATTCATCCAGTACACTCTGACAAGAAGAGGCTATGATTATCTCTGATACCAATTGTTTAGAGATAAAATTTTGAGAAACACACTTGAACAAACGTTAGAACAAGTTATATAATGTGGAATAAGTTTAACTCAAAGGATCATAAAGCTCAACAATAATAAGAATTTAGAGTTAGAAAGTTAGATAATTAGATGCGGAAATATAATGACGAAAATGTAAGGAAATATAAATGAAAACAAGTATTATATTAAGTAAACACTAAGATGGTTCTTAACGAGGATTACAATTTGGTTCCGGATCTTGCGATGGTACCCAAATTGTTCACCAAATCATCCTTGGTCATTCCAACTCCGCTATCAATGATGGTCAAGGTGTTTGAAGCTTTGTCAGGGATAATATGGACGAAAAGCTCAGGCTGGCCATCTAGCTTACTGTTATAAGCCAAGCTCTCAAAGCGAATCTTGTCCAGAGCATCGGATGAGTTACTGATGAGCTCATGGAGAAAAAATCTCCTTTTTACTGTAAAAGGAATTGATGATAAGACTCAACAACTGGTTGATCTCCGCTTGAAAGGAAAATGTCTCTATGTCTCCCATTGATGACTTTACTCAATAAACAAAGAATCACATGCTATGAATCTTTGGTGAGGGTCTTTTGGGTATCGAGGGTGATTGTTTTGAGGATTGAAGTTTTGGTTAAAGGGTGGCTTAATGAATTGTTGATTTTTGCGAAAGGAGGTTGGAGGTAATCGATTGAACTGTCGAATAAAAAGAGCAATAGCATTTTGGAATTCCTCTTCATCATACTACTTTGTGTCGGCTTCATATTATCAGGGATAATATGGACGAAAAGATCAGGCTGTCCATCTAGCTTACTCTTATCAGTCAAGCTCTCAAAACGAATCTTTTCCAGAGCATCGGATGAGTTACTGATGAGCTCACGGAGAAAAAAATCTCCTTTTTACTGTAAAAGGAATTGATGATAAGACTCAACAACTGGTTGATCTCCGCTTGAAAGGAAAATGTCTCTATGTCCCCCATTGACGAGTTTACTCAATAAACAAAGAATCACAGGCTATGAATCTTTGGTAAGGGTGTTTTGGGTATCGAGGGTGATTGTTTTGAGGATTGAAGTTTTGGTTAAAGGGTGGCTTAATGAATTGTGGATTTTTGCGAAAGGACGTTGGAGGTAATCGATTGAACTGTTGACTAAAAAGAGCAATAGCATTTTGGAATTCCTCTTCATCATACTACTCTGTGTCAGCTTCATATTATCAGGGATAATATGGATGAAAAGCTCAGGATGGCCATCTAGCTTACTCTTATTAGTCAAGCTGTCAAAGCGAATCTTTTCCACATCATCGGATGAGTTACTGATGAGCTCACGGAGAAAAATCTCCTTTTTACTGTAAAAGGAATTGATAATAAGACTCAACAACTTGTTGATCTCTGCTTGAAAGGAAAACGTCTCTATGTCCCACATTGACGAGTTTACTCAATAAACAAAGAATCACAGGCTATGAATCTTTGGTGAGGGTGTTTTGGGTATCGAGGGTGATTGTTTTGAGGATTGAAGTTTTGGTTAAAGGGTGGCTTAATGAATTGCTGATTTTTGCGAAAGGAGGTTGAAGGTAATCGATTGAACTGTTGACTAAAAAGAGAAATAGCATTTTGGAATTCCTCTTCATCATACTACTCTGTGTCAGCTTCATAAGACTGCGGTGGATTATCATAGGAAAGAGGGTAAGGTTGAGGAGTTATGTTTTGTGGAGTTTGGGCGATAAGAGCAAGTGGCCCTTCGAAGTCAGCACAATCCTTATGTACGATTGACTCTTGTGCTTAGAGTTCTCCATACAGTTTGAAAAGAGTGAGTGAGTGAATCTTCCTGTCACCTTGGACTATCATCTTTGCGGTAGTCCATCGTTTCCCTAAACAATTGAGAAACTGGAGATTGGTTTCATGGTTGTTGCAGATAGTGCCAGTTTTAACAACTTGGTAATGATGAGGTTGAATCTTTTGAAGGAGTCTTCAAAACTTTCATCCGCATGAGCTTTGAAGTTATTGAACTCGTTGAGTGTAGTGGTGAGCTTCTTATCTTGTGCTTGCTCTGAACCTTCATACAGATTTTTTAGAACTTCCCAGATCTCTTTGGCTGATTTGCAATTAATGATAATGTCGAAGTTGTCAGGAGCAACTCCGCAGGATATTTCATAAAAGGGAATTGCATCATTTTCCATTTTATTGAGATTATCCTTAGTGGAATGATTCATGGCAGGTTGACCTCATCCAAGTCAGGCTTGAGCACTATCGTCTTGAACTGGAGTAAGAATAGGGACATGAGGTCCTTCTTCTACAGATCTCCACACATCTCATCCAAGTCTTCTTAGATATCTCTCCATCCTTTGGGACCAGTGATGATACTCATTTGCTACCAGTATTGGAGCTCTATTCGAAACTCCAACACTGTTGGAAATCTTAAGAGATAATGCTTGTGCTATATTTCCTTGTTTTTGATTTTTTTTTTTTGATTTTTTTTATTTAAAAAATGAGCTTTAGTGGTATAGAAGGCTTTTTAAAATCAGAGTTTCTTTCAAAAAGCAACCACTTTGGCTCTGATACCAATTGTTGAGAGAAAAAATTTTGAGAAACACACTTGAACAAACATTAGAACAAGTTATATAATGTGGAATAAGTTTATCTTAAAGGATCATAAAGCTTAACAATAATAATAAGTTAGAGTTAGAAAGTTAGATAATTAGATGCGAAAATATAATGACGAAAATATAAGGAAATATAAATGACAAGAAATATTATATCAAGTAAACACTAAGTTGATTCTTAACGAGGATTGCACTCAAACCAAGTTAGTAAATGTGATCAGCTTAAAGTGATTAAGTGAAGAATGATTTACTCCGAAGGAGAGGTGAGGAGTTTGATCTTAATATATGAATGAAGTTCAGTAAGATCTTGAGAATAATGAGAGAAGAGATGTAAGAGATGTGTATTTCATTTGAAGCGGAACACTCTATTTATAGAGTTCTGAGAACATACAAGTGGAATAAACAAATACTATAATTCAAAAGAAGTGTCCATGCAAGGCACACTGGACAATACATTGTAAATACATAAGTTAAAAGCTAAGTCTTTGTTCAGATGAGATGACTGCGTATGGCTTCAACTCTTCTCATTGCGGTAGTGAGGAGGACTTCGGATTGAGGTTTAATAGGGTCACTTTCTTGATTCAACACGTTATTTTTCCAAGTATAAGTCAATGGAACTTACAAGTCATTACATAAAAAATATAGGATTTTCTAGAAGAACATACTTACATTTCTAAAAGGACAATTACAGTTAACTCTATAAGTACTTAGTGAATACGCTCGAGTTATATACAATGAGGATTCGACAGACAGTGGGATGTGTGCCTTCCGCCCCATTTCATGTTCCTTGTTTGGTTGTAAGCTTGCGACAGAACCATACAATCGATTGTCTGTTCGATCTGGATTGTATGTAACTTGTATAAACTAAGTACTCATAGAAAGAAACTAGTATGAGCCATTTTACATATATTTCATTGCATCAAGAGATATCGGATTTCCTGGAGAACACATCATGTTTGACAAAGAACAAAGAAATTGTTTTCGAAAACAAAACACTTATGAACTCACTAACTTTAATGTTGACACTTTCAAAACCACTTGTATTCTCAGGGCACTAGTAGATAGGTACTCGCGCAGGTCTTAGAAGACGGAGCATAGTAGCTTCAAGTCTTTATTTTTCTAGTTACTTTTGGAGTCAGTCATATGTGATTCAAATACAATGTAAACACTATATTATCAATACAATGGTTGTTGTTACTTGGATTACTATTATTCATTTCTAAAAGGACCATTATAGTTAACTCTGTAAGTACTTAGTGAATACGCCCGAGTTATATACAATGAGGATCTGGCAGACAGTGGGATGTGTGCCTTTCGCCCCATTTCATGTTCCTTGTTTGGTTGTAAGCTTGCGACAAGAACCATACAATCGATTGTTTGTTCGATCTGGATTGTATGTAACTTGTATACACTAATTACTCGTAGAAGGAAACTAGTATGAGCCATTTTACATATATTTCATTGCATCAAGAGATATCGGATTTTCTGGAGAACACATCATGTTTGACAAAGAACAAAGACGTTGTTTTCGAAAACAAAACGCTTATGAACTCACCAACTTTAATGTTGACACTTTCAAAACCACTTGTATTCTCAGGGCACTAGTAGATAGGTACTCGCGCAGGTCCTAGAAGACGGAGCATAGTAGCTTCAAGTCTTTATTTTGCTAGTTACTTTTGAGTTAGTCATATGTCATTCAAATACAATGTAAACACTATATTATCAATACAATGGTTGTTGTTACTTGGATTACTATTATTAAATTGTTGTGATACTATACACGACGTCCTCCGCCCCTAACGTTTCCGTCGTCTCGGTTTGGGGGTGTTACACAAAGCAAAGAAGCTTCCAACTCCCAACCCCTATCTCTTTTGCAGCCAACACCTTATCCCAAGCAATCCAATAGACCTTCTTATTATCATCGTCTATCCAATAAAAAAAGTTACTTCTCCAACTTTGTAATAATACCATTCCAAACATTAAAAAGAGACATAAAAAAAAGTTGGAATAGAACCAAGAACCTACTTGAGCAGTGTAAGATGGCCGCCCAAGGAAAGGGTGTTAACTTTCCAATTAGACAATCTCGTAGAAACCCTCTAAACAATCGAATCCCAAGACTGTAACCTGGACATGAAACCTCCAACCAAAGAGCCAAGGTATATGAAGGGAGTCTTAAGAGCTACACTACCAACTAAAGCTTCCTCTAGCTCATCAGAGCCACAATCCCAAAGTATCTGTTTAATTTCATCTTTTGAAATCTCACCCTCCAAGACCAAGAGTTGATCCTAAGAAAGTTGGGAAGGAAAATCGAGATCAAACAGGATCCGAGAAGTACAAGGCAACGAAAACCTATCAAAAAAATGAGAAAAAAAATTTTTTGACCAAAAAATCGATGGTTATTTGAAGAATCAATGGTGATTTGAAGAACTAGTTGTGAAACTCATGTATTACATGGGTTAATTTATATATATATATATATATATATATATATATATATATATATATATATATATATATATATATATAAGTGTCAAAATATTTAAGAACTTTGAATTTATATGAAAATAAGAAAAATAATAAATTATTATAATGAAAATGTTTTTTTATCTTTTAAATTTAAACAAATAATTTATATAAATAAAAGAAACTAAAGAGCTTTAATTTTGAAAATTTTGGAATTAAAAGTTAAATTTATTAATGAAATTGATATCCATTTATTATTATATTTATTGCGATTATTAACTAAAATATTGTAGAATTTAATAAAATAGAAAAACTCATAAATGACATGTAGAAAAACAATAATTCAAAATATTCACATAATGACATTTGTCAAATTGAATAATAATGTGACAAGTGGTAAAAAAAAAACTTTCATTTATTAGAGAATAGGTGTGAGATCCTTGTATTATACAGGCTGATTTAAAAAAGATTAAGTATTAAATTAAATGTAAATAGAAAATATTTTTTAATATACAACTTTAAAATAAGAAAAGAAGAATCGTATTTATTCCAATTTAATATCATATATATGATCTGCTTTAATAAATGAATGTTTTTTTTTCACATGTTAGTTTATGGGTTTTTTATTTTAAAAAATTTCACATAATACTTTGATGTAATAATTACAATAAATTTAGTGATAAATGAATATCAATTTCATTAATGGACTTACCTTCTTATTTTAAAATTCTCAAATTAAATCTCTTAAGTTTATTTTGTTTATTTATTTAAATTTAAAAGATAAAAAAAATCAATTTTAATAGTTTATTATTATTTATTTTCTTATAAATCCAAAGTTTTTAATATATTTAGACCTTTATATATATATATATATATATATATATATATATATATATATATATATATATATATATATAT